AGACAGCTCAGGAAAAAGCAGGTGTTTGTCCAAGGAGCTCCTGTGTCCCCAGAGGTAGCCAGAAATCTGCACGTTAGTGACAGCAGCACCTCCATCCCTGCCCCCCCCGCAAGCCTCAACATGGATTGGCGCTTCCCTGAAACTCCAGCTCCTCCTATATGCGTGTCCTCACCAGACAGCTACATGGCTTGTTTCAACACCAGCTCCAGGCTGAGCCCCAGCATGGCTTTCAGCAGCAGAACCCAAACCTGGGCAGGAGCCTGCGTGTAGTCCGGCCCCATCTTCTGGAAGCCTCTTCCACCTCCAGCCGCTACAGGCAGGTTCCAGCTCAGCCCCTGCCAGAGCAGAGCTCTCATTAATTTCAGCTGTTTGCTCAGACATTTCAGTCCTCAAGCAGACAGCCCGGAGCTACAGCCCCTCCCCAGCACCTGCTCTGGGGCCAGCAGGCAACCTGCTGCTCTCTTGGGGAGAGCATTAACAGCTTTCAGCGCCCCGGACAGCTGCCTCCCATGAGAATGTACAGGCATGGACAGTCTCTAAGTGGAGAAACGCAAATAAACAAGATTTATTCCCACAGTTTTAATAGCGGTTGTTCACGCCTTGTCTTACCATCACCCCAGGCACCCATTTCAAATCTCACCTGGCTACAGAATCACCCAGAGATAAAGTGCAGAGGCTAGCTAAGGGCTTTGCAAACAAAACTCACCATAGCTGCCCTCCAAAACAGGGTGTTAGAAAATCAATGCAACACTCAAGGCAAGAATTAACAATTATCCGTGAGAGCAGAGGCATCTTCTCACCCTGGGAGAGTTAGAATTTATAAACCGAATGTGTCTACCCACTGACTGGAGAAGCAAGGAGTGCTCCAGAGGCTAAGCTGGGGGCAGAGGGTTCATTCCAACAGAAGATTGAGCAGCATACCACTGAGGGTTTTGTTATGCTTTTAATTAACATTTGAAACACATAAGGCATATGGTAACATTAGACAGAGGAGCATTACACATTATAGTCATGTAAACAGCATTGGCACACTTGCTTTCTGTCCACCTTGGTTACACACACAAAGCAGAATATTTTTTTTTAAACAAAGATTTTCCATGTGTCTGTAGGGTGAGTATCACTCCTATCACATATCTGCAAATCAACACAACTCAGACAGTACAGACCAGACCATATGTTGTAAGACGCTCAAGAGTCTAATGCATTTCACATCACGCCCATGTACTACTTGCCAGTCACACTTTGCCATCACCAGGGCTTAGCACACTAGAGACTTCATTAGGCAACAGGAGTGGTTTTACACCTATGATAGCAGCTGTAAGCAGGCCAGAATCCTGTACCAATTAAATGCTTCTTACTTCTACCTGGTCAATCAATTCTAGTTTAATACAGGTGTCCAAAACGAAATGTACAGCTGAAGTCCTTCCCCCAACTCCAAGTACTTGGCAGGGGTCGTGCTCCTCCGCGCAAGCCCTTCTGCAGTTAGCGTGCAACACAAGCGAGCTTGAGAGAAATCAAAGAGTCAAAAACGTGACAAAAGCTGCCTGGTGATAGCAAAGGAGTTGCATTTTGTCCAAGACCAGCAGTATCAGCCTGGGAAGGCAACTGCAGTAATGACACAGGAGTGGCACTCGCACAGGCACCCTGTGCCGAGCAGTCCCCACGGCAGCGGGCAGGGCCGGGGATGCCTCTCCTCTGCTCATGAACTCCTTACTCACGCTTTCCACTTGGACTCCTCACGGCACAACCTTTGGGTCAGACAATCAGTAAAATAAACATTAAATTGCACTTCTGATAGCTGGAATGGCGCACACAGTTTAAGCACAGGAATCTCCCCTTTTCTCAATAGCACGACTTTGCCCTAAACAGTGAAGCAACAGTGAGTGGAATGATTTTTATCCTAGGGGTTTTTTTTTGTTTGTTTGTTTTGCTTTGGTCCTTAGTATACAAACCTGCTGGTTAACTTTATTGAGTTAAGACACTTGAAGTTGTTTTACATAGGTTCTATACTTACTGGCCCATAAAATGTTTGTCCATAAAAAAAAAGTACAAAAACAAACCCAAAAACCAACCAACCACAACCACCTAGAACAACGCATTGATCAGTGAGGCAGTGAAGAGCAAGGTTACGTTTAACCTTCCTCTTTCTGTAGAAAACATTGTTGCTACCAAGGGACATAAAACAGTCAGTGCTAAACTCTAACAGACAGTAACTGCTTAGCACTCTTGCCCTGATAAGGGCTTCAGGATATGTGCGCAGCTACCCGAAGAGAGTCGGGAGCCGGGATTGTTTCCAGAGAGTGAAGGCTGGGGCAGCAGATAAAGCCTCACCCAAGGACTGGCCGGGCCCAAACAGCTGCCCTGGGGGAGACAAAGGCTCTGCAATAGCTCTTCTGGACTGGGGAGCACAGAACCACCAGGACGGTCCTGGAAAGGCTGTAATACATGGAAAGGGAGCGTCTTATTCACGGTAAGTCAGACTACACCACCAGTGTTCACAAAACGGAGCTAGCAAGAGTCGTAACAAGTTTTTGGCAATACTTTGAAAGGCCGGAATGGAAAAGGCTCCAGTGACTTCCTAGTCCTTACAGGCATGTAGAAGAAGGCACCAAGATACTGTTTTCTGTGGTGTACTGCAAGGCAGCGTGTCAGAGGTGTCCTACGGGAAGCTGCAAGGCTCCCGCTTTCCTCCTTCATGCTGCGTCGGGAGGGACAGACTGCGAGAGCCTTGCTACGCTGCCTGATCCAAGGCCATCCAAGTAAGGCACTGAGCACGCACTTAGCCAAGAATAAAGCAAGGAGAGGATGTTACTGTGAAACACAATTTGATAAGTTTTCCCCTTTACAAGTGTGCAGAACCTGAAGATGTGCAGGGTTGTGTGCTGTCTGAGCACGCTGCTCTTTCATCAAGGTGAAGCCCAGTTTCTCGGAGGAACAGGTCCAGACTTCCCATTTCAGCAATTTAGACAGTCCTTCTGTTGTCAGACCTGGTAAAGCATTAGACACTGTTGGATTTAATCTAAATTAGCATGATAGGGTAGGCTGAAAGGAGAAGCAGCAAGATTTTGGATTCAGAAAGGTTAAAAGTTGTGCTTGTGAGTTTCATCAGACCATGTTCATGAAGTTCATGTATCAAGTGAGAGATGGACTGACAAGGATCTGTGACAGGGCTCCAGCCATCCTCTGAGGTCATAGGGAATGGGGTTGTTTTAATACTTAAAGTTAGCCAGGGCAAGTCCCCGAGAGGCTGTGTCTACACATTTCTAAAAGGCGGCAGAACTAGGGACTGACCCCAAGCACCTGAAATACAAGCTGCACTGGTAGACAGGAGCTCCGCTGGAGGACAGAGCTGGCCGAGGAAGAAGCCACACTCTGCACAGGAGCCCCCAGCCCTGCACAGAGCCTGGCTGCTCTCAAGCAGCAGAGGGGCTTCGCATAGAGGGCCCTTCGCCCAGCAGGCGCCTTCCCGCCTTGGGGTTTGGTTAAGCAGGACTCCTAGTAGCAAGGTTTTGCTCTGGAGCCTGAGCTCTTCCATGATGGGCAGCTGCTCTTGGCGCCCTCAGGTTTACTTTTTCAAATCCAAAAAGAAGCCTAAAAGCCCACAGCACCTACAATCCATGACAAAGCCTCAAAGCAAGCACAAACAGCATCACAGTCACTCAGGGCTGAAAACAGGGTCCAGCAGGAAGGAGGGGCACCACCCAGGACATTAAGTGCTCACAGAACTAGGCTTGGGTCTCTGCACAGCTACATTTCCAAATGCACAGAAGAAAAGAGGAAGAGAAACTGAGTTCTGGTCTGGGAGGAGCAACCCCAGGCAGTTCCTAAGCCCTCCGTGCTGGAAGAGAGCCCAAGGGTCCCAAGACTTGCAGTTTCAGGGGAAGAAGAGTCAAGCCCTACTGCAGCACTGAACCATGAGGTGAGAGCTGGTTTGAGTGGATATCTAACGAGCTAGCTAGAAGAGAATGAAAAGCACAATTTAAACTGCTCAAAATGCCCAGGCCAAGAGGCTTGACAGAGCTGGGCAGTTTACCATCTACGCTGGTAACTTGGCGACAGCTTTACTGAGTGGCATGCCACAGAAAGAGCCAGCCCAGGTTCCTGGGAAGCAGGCTTACAGGACTGGTTCTTGCAAGTTACTTCCCAAACTGCAACACCTCCCCAGTGCACAGGGCACAGCACAAAGCAAGCATTAACAGGGGCTAATTTTGTTCCCATCTTGCTGAAGTCCGATTCAACACTGCAGCCCTTGGAAATACAAACACGAGGGTGAAGTTTAGCCTTAACAATACCAACTTGGAGTCCAACATTAATAAAGCAGAGAGCCAACATCAATTGTTCCAGTCATTTGAGACACAGTCGAGTCCTTATGGTCTCTAAAAATCAGATCTCCCTATACAGTTTGGAATCAGAAAATGGACAAGATCAAGTTACCCAACTGAAACTTTTCTTCTGTATTCAGACACAGACCAGCCCAGCCTGTCAGGTTATTTGCCGACTGCACAGAGAAGTGACTGCAAATTAAGTGCAATATGCCATAGACTCCAAAATGCCAGAATGGTTATTTACAAGGCAAAGACAACATGACCTGTTACTATCTGACTGGCGTTAGAGGCCTACAAAA